ATGAGGCGTTCTAATGACCGAACAAATTACAAGCATTTACGTCCTTTGAATGGTGTGGTTTCTGTGACCTGAGCTGAAACAGTTGGAGGGGAAGGCTTTTGTAGTGGTAAGAATGAACCAAGCATATGATTATGATTATGAGAGAAATGCTTGCAACCCATTTAGAAATCGATTCTCCTCACTGCTTTCCCATTCAGTGTCAAGCCTGTCAACCAAAATGAAGTCGACAGCCCCCATTTCTTCTTCAGCTATTATCATTTCATCCCTTAGACACCACATTTTTCCTCAAAGGGCTGGTCTTTCATACAAAAAGCGCAGTCAATCAGATGGTAATTGACTCTTAATGGTACCAATTAAATAATCATTCTCCTTTTGATTTATTGGACAAGTCACTTGCACAGAAAGTTGGAAAGTTTCTGTATTGATATTGGCGGGTGGGTGGGGGATAGCACGGCTCCTTTAACCCGTTCTTGGAGATACATTTACAGCTGAATCAATTTGAAATTAGCTGTCCATTCTGTTAAAAGAAACTTATAGCACTAATATTTCAGTAGTGTGTCTGACTCTTAAAAGTGTGAAGTGCATTTATATCCATCTGTTGCCTTTGACGTCACAGTTTAGGATAGTTGCTAGTGAAGGTTTTGGGACTGTGTCAATTTTCAGGATAGATAGAGACTGAATCAATGTCTGTCTCTCTCTCTCTCTAAAACTTGTGGTAACTTATGTTGCCCAAGGTCAAAAATGTTTATTTGTTAGAATCCAGTAAAACAGTAATATTATGAAATATAATTTCAGTTTTAAATAACAGGTTTTTTTTTTTATTTTAATATAAAAAATACTTTATTCCTGTGATGTCAAAGCTGCATTTTCGGAAAATTCTCCAATCTTCAGTGTCACATGATCGTTTAGAAATCTTTATATGCTGGTTTGGTGCATTTATTTGAAAAGAGTCGCTTAAATTGTTGTGAAAACAGTGATACATTTTCTTTCAGGATTCTCTGATTAACAAAAGTAAAAAAAAAGAATTTATTTTCAATAGAAATCTTTTTTTAACATTATAAATGTCTTGCCATCCATCCATCCATCTGCCTCCCCTCCCTCCTTCCCTTTTGCCTGTAAACCTTCAAATTGGATTTGTTTTTAAACTCAAGGCTTTGACAAGCTATTATTCAAAGCTTGTCATAACAATCCTTCATTTTCATATGAATTAATTTGTATTCTTCTTTCGTACATACAAACTGCAATTATGCAACCTGTTTTCTACATCAATTCAATTCGAATTGAGGAATTCCAAATGTCGCACGACCCTGGTGTTCGTGCACAGCCATAAGCCAATCATCATTGCCATAATGTCATCTTGGCTCCGGAGTGATCAGTCATGGCTATTCCGGCTAATGTCGGCTCTATAGACCCGATTTTTATTTTTTTTTAATCATGTACTTCCTGGGGGGCTTCAGCGTCAGTCGCTGAGGTCTCAACGGACCTCCTTGATGTTCTCTCGTCGTTAATTTTGTGTATGTGATTATTATCCTCATCAGAAGCAAAGTTAGAATCACAGCCGGCACCCATCCTACGTTGTCACCGCACGACGCTTTGAAGTCTTACTTTTGAAGAGTGCAAATCTCATGGGGTCAGAGCATCTGCTTATTGCATTGCATCTGCATTGGGAGTCTTTGTACCTAAGACATTTGCAGCAAATCAGAGTTGCCATAGCTGGGGCATCCGGTGCAGGTTTCTGCCTACAGGTTGTCCCCCTCGTTTGAAATCGTGATCACACTCGCAAGTCTGTGATCCACCCCCACAAGATAAGCACAAAAACCACAGGAAGCGCAAACATCGTATTAGACTGATTTTATCCAACGCAACAATTCCGAGATGAAATCAAATTGCAGACTACCTGGCAAGCGCAACGGAGCTGAACCGCGCCGTGAAATCACTAGGCGGCTGTAATCTTGTGCGTTGAACAAAACTGTTTTCAATCCATCATAAAACCATACAGCTTGACTGCTTGAGTGTGCACATACATTTGTAAAGCTGTTTGAATTCACAACGGCACGACTTGATGAAATTGGCCTGCTTTTGTTCCCTGGATTCCATCTCACACCCAAACACCAACTGAGAGACATTTGATCAGGGAGTCTTCTTGGCAGCATCTCAGCAAATGCCAAGATGATTCATTTAAACATGTGTGCTCTTTAAAATAATTGGCCCGCATCACCCCTCCCCCATTGTCCACACTACGCTGAGAGTTTAGCTGCAGAGTCAGAGATCCATTTACCAAGTCATCATTTCTTTTCTGCTGAAGGAGGCAGCGTGGCTGCCGGTGCCATATTAGATCAGGATCCAGGCGTACACAAGAAGCAACAGTCTTGGACATGCTGTCTAAAAGCATCTCAAACAGCTCTATATAACCCAAACTGAATCAGAAAACTTCTCCCAAGACATTGTAATGTGTTCCAATCACTGAACGCTCACACACTAACCTGAGGTCACAGCTTTTCTTTCCTCCCCCCTTCTGAAAAACACTCCTCTGGCCAAAAAGAGAACAACAGCACGCACAAGGCAGACAAAAGGAGTCGCATCTCTGTCTCCTACATAGGCAGCAGCCTTTCAAGACAGCATCTTTACAGCATGGGTTATAGTTTATCCGCTCCTCGGCAACCAACGAGAGGAACGTCTGCGCTTCGTCCACTGACCACGATTCAGCCATTTCTCTTTTGGAAGTTTTTTTTCTTTATTTTTTTCTTCAAGCAAGTCAAGCAAGTAGTTTTAAATCCGGTGCTACAACGCTATTTAAATCTAGCGGGTTTGATACAGTATATCGCAAATACAATGAGGGTGGTAGTGACGATGTCTGTCTGACCAATCAGTGATCTGCATTGTGTTTTAGTATTGTTACAGTACGCTTTGAACCTCAACAGAGGTGGTACCGTTTAAAGCGAGCCGTACCATGCAGTGGAAAAGCGCCACAAGTGAGCCGTACCGAGCTGACCCGTACCGTACCATGCAGTGGAAAAGCTCCATAATGCCTAGTTCACACTACATGATTTTAAAATGTCGGGCTGAACTGTGCAGTTCACATTACATGACTTGCTCTCAGTGAAATCATGAGTGTTCAAGTTGTTTAGCTGTTCACACCACACAACACAACGTGATTGATCCACAACAGGAGGTAACTCACTACACGAGTTAACAACGCACTACATAGAGATACAACCACGATCGGATGATAAGAGCATATCATTTGTGACTCAATGAGAGCTGTTTCAGTACTATAATACGTTCTAAATCCTGAAAATAATCAAACAAATAACGAGTTGGCAACAACACGATTCTATCTGGTCTAGAAACCATGTTTTGTAACGAAAAACCACGCAATAAAACGAACCAGAAATGACGCGAAACTGCAGAGAAGAACACAACACGCGAATATGGACGTCAGACAGAAACTAGTGCTGCACACTGTTTGCTCGACGATATGCTCTGAGAAAAAAAAACGCAAAAAAGAAAAAGTAAGATTTACCTGGTGTCCTCAACCCATGCGTTGCTATGATTGGCTGTACTCATGACATCACTGAGATTGAGTCGCGCGACTGCGCGAGATATCTAGCATGCTAGATATTTTTCTGAGCTTGGTGACCTGTCTGCGAGCTGTCTGCGAGCTGTCTTTGATGCGTTGTTGGCTCTTTCACACTAACTGATTGGCGAGCGTTAATCGTCCGCTAATCGCCCGCGATTTGCACGCGATAACACCCTGACTTGTCGGCGACTCAACGATTTGCAAATCGGGCTTAAATCGGGCTTAAAATCACGTAGTGTGAACTAGGCTTAAGCAGCGGTGTCCGAAATCGCATAGAGTATGTACTGAAAGTAATTACTTTGCAACCAAAAAAGTATGTTCTGTAGTATGGATGTTTGTAGAGTGAATATAATCCATGTTGTACTTTTCATGTGACCTACCAGCATCAGTTACATCACTTTTCTGGCATTTACAAATCCTCTTCTGTGGCCTCATGGGATAGTAAAGCATCCATCAAATCTGCACTTCAGAATATTGTCGGACATAGCAGCTCACCCAGGTATTTTTACCTACAGTACGTTTTAGTGAATTCGGAGATGCAACTCTAATCACATTCTGTTTTTTTGCCCACTAAATTGAAGGGAAGTATGCGATTTCGGATGCAGCCACTGCATTGCTTTCTCTGCAGTACTTAATACACTGCCTGTGCCTAACAATTTGTCCAAAACAAGGTATTTCAGATTCCTTGTGGAACAGCAGCCTTCTTGTCAGGAGCGAGCCCTGTATCTCTTAAAATGCTGCTTCTGTAGGCAAGGCTGCTCACTAGGTTTTGTAACAGAGCTGAAAAAAGGGTGCCATGCAAAGGGTGCTTTTCATGTAGAGTGGCTTTGAAAACTCTTCCTTCTCTGCGGCGGGCGCTTTGACGAGAGAGTACACACCTTATATTTCTGTATTTCCAGCCAAATGGGAGGGAAAAAAAACATGCGTAAAAGTTTAATCATCTGCGCCCTAGGGCTGGAGAAAGCAGACTGCAACCGAAACACCTGCCTGTGCAAATCACCTCCTGGAAACAAGCTGAGCAACTTTGCAGGTTCATTAGTGCTATATCTGTCTGAATAATGCATCTCGGCAACTATCTTAAACAAAGGCCTGCAGATAAATAGAATCTCTTTGGGTTTGCATCACCTCACTGATGGCAAACTGGCTGTTATAGAACAATGAGATGGATCCGCACGTAAGGCATACAAGAGGTGGTGAGATCTGCTTCTCTGTGCATGCTTTCTGCAAATTTTCTTCACGGTGTGGTAATTGGATGTAGTGGACGGGAGTCTCAGTGGTCATTTTACAGATCCGATACTAACCTAAATCACCCGCTCTTGGGGGACACTGCAGGGGTTCTGCAGTCCAGGGAATGAAGGTTTGAAAGCTGGGAGGAGGAGAATCAGAGAAAGAGAAAGGCTGGACGAACACAACTACTTACCGCTCTTGCACACCGGGCAGCACTGCTCAGGCTCATATTCTGGATCAACACACTCTGTCTGCGGGCAAGCGGACACAGAACAAAGAACCTCTCCACTGGCCTCACAACGGCACTTCTCGCAGGGAGACACCTAGAAACATACCCAGACAAGACACAAAAATGTTGGAGCATTTTTAATACTATTAGGATTTATATGAGGTTCAATCATCAGAGTAAGAAAAACAAGAGAGTGCTTCTTTGAGGGAACTGATGAGTGTTCAATTTAATTGATGAGCAGACTTCATTTCTGCCAATCTTGGAGTATATTAACAATGCTTACCTACTTCCTCCTGGCAATACTTCTGGCATCGCTCATCGCCCTTCCTTCCTTTCCATATTTATGTCCATGGGGAACTCTGAGTCATGTCTTACCCTCGGAGCCCATTCATTATGAATCAGTATCAATACTTGTCTCCTTTATTTGAGTGATTCTTCAGCTACAGACACTTTTATAGGGTTCATTTTTTATTAAAACATTTTAAAAAGGTCACATTAAAACTGTCTAGGAAACTTTTAGACCATCTCTTAATTTACATGAGCTATTTATCAAATGTCTTTAAATATATTTTATTATGTAGACACAGACTTTCAATAAATTAAAACTATGATCATCTAAAAAAAAGTGTAAAATTTGAACCATTTCTATTTTTAAATGTTTGGTAACACTTCCATTTGTTAACATCCGTTAATATGAGCTAACAATTACAAATACTTCTAAATCATCTTAAGTAATGTTAATTTACTAATACATTATTAAAAGTTGCATCTGTTAAGCAAGGAATAATTGACGACGGGCCATTGAAACATTAGAAAATAATGCAAACCCACGGTGGTACAGTAATGCGGAAACGAAGCGGATTTGTTGTTTTTAACTTATTATTTAATATATTTATTGCTTTTCCCTGAAAATAATTACACACATTAGAAAGTTCGTCAACCAATCAGATTCAAGCATTCAACAGACCCATAGTATAATATTATTTAATGTATCTGATCTAACATGAACAGTTGACTAATGTAAACAAACATTTTATAAATACTGTAGCAAATGTATTGCTCATTAACTAATGATAACTAATTGGACTATGTTGTAAAGCGCTAACAATTTACATAAAGTTGTATGACCATTATGGTTCGACAAAATATTACTTAAGTGAAAATGATATGGACAATGTGTGCAAGTATTTTTGATAGCTTGCTTTTTATGCAAATGCATAGGGAGGCGTATTGCATTCACTTGAAGAAAAAAAATCTACTCTGTTTTTCTGAATTAACGAGTTAATTATCTCAGAATTACGAGATTATCTTACATGGAAAAAAGTTTTTGCTCTGTTTTTCTGAATTAATGACTTGATTATCTCAAAAATTAGGAGTAACTCATTAATTCATAAAAACAGAATGAACTTTTGTTTTCAAGAAAAATATCTCATAATTCCGAGATAATTAACTTGTTAATTCAGAAAAACAGAGCCAAACCTTTTTTCCATGAAAAATTATCTTGTTATTCTGAGATTATTAACTCGTTAATTCAGAAACACAGGGTCGATTTTGTGAATGCAATACGCTTCCGTAGAGACAACAAAATTAGCCTTAGTAAGAAAATGAGTGCCATTTTATTCAATAAATGTTTAAAATGTAATTTTCATCTCTGAATAGTGATTTCAGAACAAGAGAAATTTTAACATTTCCACTGTGGTTCATGTATATAAACTTTTGGACATTGTTAAAAGACAAATAATCTAGCGAGTTCAAAAACAGTTTTTTTTTTCTTTTAAATCCAAGGCACCAAAAATGTCCATATGCTTTTTATGAACCTAAAACGAACTGTATTCATGTGATAAATTCAGAGTCTTGTCACACAGTGGATTTCTGAAGCATTCATGTGACTCTACAGATGTCCCAGAAATCACATACTGCATGTATATGAACAAACCGATCAGTTTTGCTCACTGCTTCTCTGCTACCAAGAATAAAGTACAAAGGACTTTTCAGGCATTAGCATTTTCTGTGAAAAGAACCGTCTCCACACAGTATCTCCTGAGACAATCTTTAACAAATCAAACAGTGAACAATGCGTCACGTCCAATTGTGATGTAAAAGAAAATTTCAAAATTCTAAAATTGAAAAGCAGCTCCCCCTGAGAAGCCCGCATTGTGGGACTAAACAGATATGATACCGGACTCATTTCATTCTGCAGAGGGTTTAATTGTTACCTTTGCAGTCTGCATATGCATCAGTTACAGCTGAGCACAACCAATAAATTCAGTGCTTGGTCATCATTACCACTCTTTGCGAAAAGCACTTATGCTGACTTCTTCTGCATTTATAAATCTCACTGCTTACTACAGTATAAAGCTCAGGTGCTTTGGATAAGGACTCCAATGACACCGGAGGAGGAACCAATGAAAATTAAATCAAGAGTATAAGCTGTAAAAGCAGCTAATGGCTTTGTGAGGCACATGCAGTTCAAAAAGAATCATTCGTGCACCTGCTGCTAACTCTAAAACTGATGACAAGCCTTATCCCACTAAAGGCAAAATTAGAGAGCATCATAATAGGGCCTTACAGGAAAAAGGCCTGTCTTCTCTTACACTGCCTAAGCAAGATAAGTCACCATTAGTTTCACATAATAATTGAACTCTTCACACATTCACAGCATGAAATGCAGGAAAAAACAGCATTTTATCTTATTGCGAGCCTCTTCCTGGGGGACAGGCTCAGGCTGAGAAAGAGTGACGGATTAAAAAGGAATAAAAAAGAGCAATTTCGAAATCTAATTTTTGGCCTGCTGGAATCAATACATAATCAAGACATGATGTGCACACATTAGATTTCTTTAACTGGACAGAAAACTCCCCTGGACCACAGAAATTCGATTCCACTCAATAATGTGGATTCACAAGGGTGAAGATCTAAACTCAAAGTCTTCACATGATAATCTCCCATTAAATAAAGGTCACTCTCGGACTCCTGACACTGTTGAATACAGATAAAAGAGAAGAATAAACCTTGTTAAAGATGGATAATGAATCATTTAATGTGCTGCTCTAACCTTAAACTCCTCCAGAGATGAGTAGACCTTTCCTCGAAATTCACAGTAGTTTTTCTTCTCTTTGCACTGCGGGCAGCACTGGCTGGTGTCAACACGCAGGCAACGTGGGTGAAGTTTCGGACACTCGGGTTGGGCGCACAGAGGACCTTCGTCTGTACACAAACAGGGGCAGGTGGAGGGTCCCGGGGTGAATTTGTCCCCGATGGCGAACACAAACCCTGTCTCGTCCATGCAGCCCTTACCCCTGTAATCGGGATACGCGTACTCGTCGGTCGCATCGAGGGAGGCGTTGGCCTCTTCCGTAGGAGCCTCTTCGGTTTGCTTGAGGGATTCTTGCTCACTCCAGGCTTCGAGGGTCTTACCCTGCAGTTTGGACCCTCGTCTCAAGGGGCTGGAGTTGGGCCGGGCCCTGATGGCACTGGATCTGTTCACGCCCTCCAATTCAAGATTACTCAGCTCCTCCAAACGCTGCCTTGCACTGGGGCTTAGCGCACCCTCCCTGGCTTGGGTCAGAACGCGCTCCAAACGCTCTTTCTCCCCACCCTCCGGCACCGACACAATGGGATTGCCTCGCGCGCTTGTATACAAGAGCCAAGTTACAAAGATAAGTCCTGTTGTCATGGCAGCCGAGTGAAGCATCTCACTCCTCTCCACCAGCATAAAATTACGGGACTGCACCTGGACTCACATAACAATCCTTAAATTGCATGTATTACAGCAGAAGCGTTGTCACATCTGTAAAAGAAACAAACTACAGGTTTCAGCACCATGGACAGGGGTATGTAATATCAGTCAGAGAACTTGGCTACATTAAATACCAAACAGCTTCCCAAAATCAATTTTCTTGAGTGTAACACTAAATCAGTGATCTACTACACTCCTTAAAAAACCCAACACTGATTTTTCAGTCGAGTTAATCGTTGAGGCTGTGAAATTGATTTTATGAAAAGTTGTTCACTAACAATCGTTCACTAAATCCAAAATAATGTGAATAATCCATCTTGAATTTATAAGCATTGCCTAGCTAAAAGTTCCTTTTACTCATAATATAGTTTCCAATTCAGACCATTTGCTGTCCTCCTATGCACTGGAGTATGAACAAATATGATTGCATTGTGTGCACTGTAAAAAACACAGTAAGTAGGTTGCCTTAAAATTTTAAGTTCATCGAAATAGAAAAAATGAGTTGATACAATGTAGGAGATTGATTTAATCATCAGAAACTCAAAATATTATGTTTTCTGAACCACATTAATTATTTAAGTTGATTTAACAAAAGAAAAAATGTTATGATTACAAATCATGAACATATTTTTTTTTTACCGTGTGACTGTTTTAATTTCTGTTGTTGTTGAGTTTTGTCATGTTTAGTAGGCTAACTTGTTGTCAGAATGGATTTGTTCCACAATGAACAATTAGTTGATTGTTAAACTTGTACACCTTTCACGAAACAGGTCAGTGAGTATTTAAAAGTACAGTGAGTATTTTAAGCATTAATTGAATGCTTTTTATTACAAGAGTTTGTGTGGTGAGGGTCCATGTGATGTAGTCAATAGACGTCCACTTGGCTCTCTGTCACTTGAATGAAAAAAAAAAATGAGAAGTAAAATATAAGCAAGCACAGTATAAATGGTATAAGATAAAATAAGAATGATAAGAATTGTTACTATTTCTCAATGTTTGTTTCACTCAATCGATTTGCAGAATTCTTAAGGAGCTGATTTGATTGATACTTATTGAATTCCAAATATATAGGACATGTCATTTGTTGCCAAACAGGAAATAACCCAAAATAATATAACTACTTATATTGTTTCTTCTCTTTTTTTATGTTGATTTTTTTTAAGAGCTTTACAACTTTCCAATGCTGAAAACATGTGAAAACTGACTGCCTCGGGTGCAATCACACATAGCGACAGCAATCTTCCAGTCGCACCTCCACGCATCAATTTTCACGGGGGTGATGGACGCGAAAGTAAATTGCCTCAAGGGAACTTGAGTCACAGGCACTTCTCCGTCCATCTAAGCGCAATCAATTCACTTCAATTGAATCTGTTAAATGACACGAAGAGGTTAATCGAGGAATAGATTTTAGAATGGAGGAAAAGGCCTTGTGAACAAAATATTTCAGCACTATCACATGAGCAAGATTGCTGTTGTGCTAAATATCAGCATGGCTGTGTTTATCTGTCGGTACAAGGCTGCAGGTAATCACAGCTGTGCTATTATTAAAGTTGCAATGGCACGGAAGTATCGGCAGATCTTTTCTTCAGTACTGTGGCGTACATATAAGTGTAAAAGATCGGGGAAAAAATGCAGCTTTGACAAACATTATGAGGTTAAAACAATTGGGAAAATGGCAACAAATGCACAGATGAACTCTTGACAATAAGATCTATAACCTGCATACATTGAAGAAGAATTTTTATTTCATTCATTTTAAATAACGGATTGGACCACAGAAATTAATCTGATGCTAAATTTCCAATGTGTTTATACAACAGTTCTCCAATTATACACTTCAACAAAGTAATTTAATACCAATCAAATGATGTTTCAGACAAAAACTGGCCAGTTAATAATTTGTATATTTCTTCTCTGTCAAGTGTCCCAACTAAAATAGTTTCACAAGAAGCCAATTCATCCACTATGGATTCTAATACTCTCATGGTTTTGCATGTCATGCTTCCCCACTCACAAGCGAGAGAAACCCATGCATGAAGAGAAAACACCCAAGTTCTAATATTTAAAAAAGCAGGTTCTGCAAGAACCAATGAGGTTCATTCTCGTGTTACACAGCACCTTTGAGCTTCTGCAAGAACCAATGAGGTTCATTCTCGTGTTAAGAAGCATGTTTGAGCTTCTGCAAGAACCAATGAGGTTCATTCTTGTGCTACGAAGCATGTTTGAGCTTCAGCAAGAGGTTTGTTCATTTATATGTGAATAAAAGCCTAAATTAAAAGCGATCGAGTCGATTCAGAAAAATTGGACTAAACCACTCAATTCATATGGATTAGTTTTAAAATCTCTCTATGAACTTTTTAAAGCGTCAAAGTGGTAGTTGCGTAGATGTCAATGGAGGGAGAGAAATCTCTCAAATCTGTGTTCCGAAAATGAACAAAAATCTTACAGGTTTGGAACAACATGAAGATCAATTTTTGGGTGAACTAACCCTTTAACAAAAAAAAAAAAAAAAAAACAATATCTGAATAGGAAAAATATTATTGGAAGTATGATATCAAACAAGATGTACAGTAATTTAAATTTCAAAATTAATTTGCATATAATGCATATAAAAAGCCATGCATTTATTTGAATTTCAGTCCCTGAGGACTGGAGCCTGTTGATGCAATGCACAGGTGCTCTTCACAGCATTATTCATATCCACTCGACACAATCACATCTTCATCTTCACGTTCAACGATACAAAGTGTAACTGAGGCAATCATTTGGAGTTCACATGTGGCTGAGAATGAGAAAAAGAGGCGTAGATAACGATGCGACATAAAGAACACACTAAATCGGTTCATTCGCTGTAACACTGACGCTATTAGCTGTAATATTCACACCACCCACATAAGTTAATTAATGTAACGTAACCCAAAGAAAAACATGTACAGAGACCACACATAGCGAATGATCTATCTGATCCATGTCATACTTAATTCTTCGACCGTAAATATCAGTTCAGTTCATTTTGGGCACATTTGTATCGGTCATGTAACATACTATTTTGACTCATTTTAAACGTTTAACTGTAACTTTATAATGCCATTTAAATACATTAAAGCTGACCAGACGTCCATACCTGCATCTTTCCGTCGGTCTTGTTGGTGTGTTGTGTAGATAGTTGTCACACAGTTTACATCGAGGCTCGTTCATCAGTCTCTGCACACTCCACATCACCTCAAAACTGCGCTCAGGAAATAAATAAGACAATTTAAATGTTGCCAAAAACGAGGACGACAGGGCTGTTAATGTCTCCCCAGCTCTAGTCTGAGAACCGAAAGAAAGGAGTGGACTCTTCAGCACCAGAGACTATAAAAAAAAAAAAAAAAAAAAAAAAAAAAAACACAAACCGGCAGACTTGCGTCACAGGGTGAGGAGTTTAATGAAAATCGCGCGTCACCTTTCCGACCACCAGGTGGCACATTCTCTTACTGGACTCACACACATTTCACTGTGTGATTAATCTTTTGTTCACGATGTTTTGACAGAGACTATCCATTCTTAGATTATTCGTGAGATGTGCGATGAACGACGTGTCTGTGTTCCAGATTTCTGTGTTGGCATTCATCTCGAGATTCTCTGCGGACAATGTATGAGGTTTAAAACTGCAGGTATAAAACTGATGAAAATGCACATGAAGATCGAACTTTTCTGCCCTGATTTGTATTGATTTTATTTGCTTGCTGTTGCACTGTAATGAGATCTCTTCAGTTGTGAACAGTGAAATCAGAACACACACATTTTATGGGGATTTATTATTTTTATACTGTACAAACTTATATTATATCCCCATCACAGAACACGTTCTGTATTTGTACATTGTCAATAAATAAATAATAAATAACTTAGTATGATTTATTAGATGTTTTTCTCATTGGGTCCAAAAATGTCAGGATTTTGGATATTGCAATCTTTGTAGGGACATTTTGTACCCAGTAACCCATAATGTAACCACACACACCTCATTGTTATTTTAATAAAAAATTGTTTAGTATTTTTATTTAGTGATTTAAATTATGAGGACATCGTCATGTCCTTGTAATTTAGAGAGTGCGTCTCCTAAAACCTAATGTAGGTCAAACCAGTAAACACACATCTAGTCTTTAAATGAATGAGATGATATTTGTTAAATCATAACCATAACTACAAACCTGTTGATATCAGTACATTGAAAGCTTTGTTTGATTTAAAGTATGACTTTCAAATAGTCAGTTCTCAAAATGTTGATGTTGTTTTTGCATAAACCAGACTAACCCATGAATGTACATTTTTAGACATTATTGACCATATTTTATTACTGAATTGTTTTTAAAATAAGCTTTGTCAGATTTTCTTCACCATTAAAAAATTTGGAGACAGTAAGATTTTATTGTGGAAAGAATACTTTTATTCAGCAAAGATGCATTAAATTGATCAAAAGTGAAAGTATGTTGCAAAAGATTGTATACAGATAAATGCTGTTCTTTTGAACTTTCTATAAATCTCAAAAACTGTGAAAAATGAATCAACAGTTTTTATTAGAATGATTTCTGAGGGATCATGTGACTGAAGACTGGAGTAATGATGCTGTAAATTCAGATTTGCCATCACAAAAATAAAATACATTTTATTTTATATAAATAATACTATTTTACCAGTGTTTATAGTATTTTTTTATGAAATAAAATCAATCCTTATTCCTGAGTCTGACCCCAAATTCTTAAACGCTATATGGTATCTTACTTCAGGACACATTTTCCCCTAAACTATAGTAAACACACATTTATTTGTTATCCAAATGAGAACACATCATAGATATCTGCTTTTTTATAACGTTAATAATAATGACCACAAACTAACCCTATAAGAAATCTTTTTACATTATTTCAATAAAAAACAACACTATTTTAAATGAATTGTTTTTCCAAATGAGAACGTCCCCAGATGTCCCCAAAAGGACACGGTCAGATTTAGCCAACTTCTGGGGACAATTTTGAAACACGCACACATAAACACAGAACGACAGTGGTGCTTGAGGCCAGATGATTACGTCCTTTTAAAGAAATGCTCTTCATATCCAGCACAGGCCTGCATTAATATAATTGATTATTCAGGGTCGGTCGAAGCCATTTCCACCATCTTCTTTTGATGGGGTGAGAGGCGAAAATCATTAATTCAACATTAACAAAGAGGCAGGAATAGATGTCCACAACATTACATTTCACAACAGAGCACACGCTGTTGGCACCACGACCCCCTCCATACAGAGGAGAGGAGGTCCCCTTCTGACACCACATTTCCATGCCCATTAAGAATTGATCCACTCCGAACCTGTATTTAGCATGCAGACGTGATTCAGATCTTCAAGCAGACAGGGTTGAGGTCAAATTCTTATGGCTCGGCAAAACGTCTTAGTGCGAGAGTGTTTTTCTAAAAGCGGAAGTTATATTATTAAAGTTGAATGGGGCCTCTGCTCCCTGAGAACAGGACAAGGGCTCTGCGTGCAGTGAGTGACAGCGTGCTAATGGTTCACTCAGACCACATGCATGATTGAGCAACCTGCAGGGAAACCTGTCCCAGCAGAACCTGTGAAAAGGTAGTATCTAAAACAAGGGTGACCAAAAGTTCATTCCCATTTTTGCCTGACAAAGTTTGTTATCTAGAACCAATTGACTGGAGACATTTCTGCTAAAGGGTAAAAAAGTTCTGACAAACTACTCAAGTTGGAGTAAGCAATTTCCGAAAGGCTAGCAATTAGCAAGCTAGCTTTGAAAGCATAAGATCCCACCCTCCCTTCCGAGCGTCTCCAAAGCCACACCACCTTCAATATAGATGATCTCAGACACAGCAGAGACTGCAAAGCGTCACGTGAGACAGCGTTAGATTGCATCATGTGTCAAAGCACATAACATTTCAATAATAATGAATGTAAACAACTTAAAGAGCACTGACCTGTACAATGTGACTTCATTTCGCCGTTGATAGTGTTGCCATTGAAATGCATAAATCCATGTAAATATACAACAGCGCGGTTTGCCATCTCTTAATTACGTGGCGTGAAAGCAGCAAATGCTCATTGTTTTGGTTCAGGAGGAACTGTAAAAGGTGGTCGCGGTTTGTTATTTGCTTTCCGAAATCACATGCTCTCTTGAGTAGGTACTTATTTTAAAAAAGTAATTACTTCATATGGCTAAAAAAGTATTTTCTATATAGTTTGAATATGTATAATTCATACATACTACATCTGCCATGTTGACATTATCACAATACATCTTTTGTAGGGATTTCGCATGATGCAGTCTGCATGGAACCCGCTGATGACATATGATGTCTGCGCAAGATATGGATATTCAGGTATGCGACGAACATTTTTTGGTCTTGAGAACACTTCTATTATTGATTGCTATCAAGAAAGAACAGTATAAAGTGTTTATAAAAACATTGCTTTAATATTCATAGAGGCCTTTCTTCAATGGGAGGAAACTGTGTCAAAGAACCCTAGAAAGAAGTCTGTCGTGAAACATCCGAGACAAAGGTAAAATGTATGTCGTAATAATGCATTCATATGTCTTGGGAAACTATTAAAGGAATAGTTCACTTTTGAAAAAACTTTTGCTGATAATTTACTCACCCCCATGTCATCCAAGATGTCCATGTCTTTGTTTCTTCAGTCGAAAAGAAATTAAGGTTTTTGATGAAAACATTCCAGGATTTTTCTCCATATAATGGACTTCATTGGTAACCAAATGGTTCAAGGTCCAAAAGACAGTTTCAGTGCAAACTGTTCAAAGGGCTTTAAACGATTCCAGACAATGAATAAGGGTCTTATCAAGTGAAACGATCGCTCATTTAAAACAAAAATAACAATGTTTAAGTTTTATAAGCTCAAATGGTCCCCTTGCCCTGTTCTGTGATGCACGTTTGTGACTCTCCTGTTCGAACTCGTTCATCAAAATTAATCTTTTCACGAGTCAATTCGTTAATTTCATTCATTGAATGAACCATATGACACGAAAAAAGATTCGTTCATTTTGATAAACGAGTTCGAACAAGAGAGTCACAAACGTGCATCGCAGTACAGAGCAAGGCGATCATTTGAGCTTATAAAACTTAAACTTCGTTAATTTTTTTTTTTTAATGAGTGATTGTTTCGCTTGATAAGACCCTTATTCATTGTCTGGAATCGTTTAAAGCCCTTTGAACAGTTTGCAGATTGTACTGAAACTGCCGTTTGGTTACCAATAAAGTCCATTATATGCAAAAAAATCCTGGAATGTTTTCATCAAAAACTTTAATTTCTGCTCGACAGAAGAAAGAATGACATGGGTATCTTGGATGACATGGGGGTTAGTAAATCATCAGCAAAAGTTTTTTTAAAAGTGAACTACTCCTTTAACGCATGTCATGAGAAAACATGCAGTGTTTTTGATGCTTTGTTTAAGCATCATCACCGGTTCCTATGGGCACGATATGTTCAGAGGCTGACTGAGATAAATAGCATTCAGCCTGTCACAGTGTCTGTTCTCCGGTAAACCAGTGAGCGCTGATGACATTTACAAAACCGCAAACATCCACCAGAAACAAATGGTTGATAAACAGGACAAAATAAGACAAACATGAATCACATACAGGGCATGAAAACAGCTTTCCCCATGAGGGAACGTACTTCCAAGTTCTTAGAGACCAGCTTACTTTTACCAGAATAACCCTGTTTTAAGCACAGCCGCATGTATTATTGAAAGACCCACGGCAGCAGATATGCATCAGCACCATGAAAACTCTCTTCTTTTACCTATTAACTTCAATCACAACAGGTCAGGCACTGAAATGCAAGGAAATAGGGAATTCAAAACGTATAATTGCATTAAAAGTAACAAATGCAATGCCAAGGCATTTTCTTTGAAGAAAAGTAACCTTTGGATACAAAATTAAACCAAAAGAGGGTGAGTACTATTAAAAAGCTGTTGTTTAATTAAAGTCAAATGTCAAAAGCACATTGATTTGTCATACTTAGAAGAACAGTAAAATGTGTACAGATTTTCAAGCAATCTAAAATCAAACACAAATATGAAGCTACAGTTACAGTGCATCTGTTTAATACATAGTTTTCAAGTTAGAAAACAATTTACATCATGTGGCCAGGATTTCTTGAGTAGTGTCCACAAAAGTCCACTATGTCTTTAGGGTAATCCAATCAGAGATTAATGTTTAGCTGTAAATGTTGCACTACAGTGGTCTCAGACTTGCTATCACTGAGGACAGCCTAGGAGGAAAACACACAATCATACAGAAGAACAGATCAAATTATTGTTAAAAACAGTTGTACATCTGATAATTAGCCCTGCTGGGCATACAAAGCAAATAGAGTTGCTGTCACAGTTTCATAGTGTCATTTTTTATAGGTTAGAGAAAAATAACACCTTTAAGGAGATATTGCTTTACATTTAACACAAAGAATAGGTTTTACTAAGGCTTTTCAAACTGGTGTCCTGGGACTAGGGAGTTGCAAGGGAGTGCTACGGGGGTTTAAAGAAAATAAAAGAGAAAAAAACCAAACAAAAATATATAAAATACATACTGTTCACTACTGTCAAATGTTTCGGTGGGTTTTCTCTTATGCTTATCCAGGCTGCATTCATTTGATCAAAAATACAGTAAAACAACGATTTATTTTACAATTTAAAATAACTTTTCTATTTTATTAATTTGTAAAATATAATTGACTGTAATGTTCTGTGATTTCAGCATCATTAATCCAGTCTTCAGTGTCAAATGATCCTTCAGAAATCATTATTTGCTGCTCAAGAAACTGAGCTTATTAGTGTTGATAATTAATACTTTTGTGGAAACCTTTACACTTTTTTAATCGGGATTCTTTGATGACAGCATTTATTTAAAATGGAAATCTTTTGTAATATTATAAAGTCTTAGTGTCACTTTTGATCAATTTAATGCATCGTTGCTGAATAAAAAAATGTTTCAACAGTTACTGTCAACGTAATTAAGATGTTAAATATTTTTAATGGCCCTTATTATACTTATAAAATTGCTTTGCAACAATATTCATTGTGAAAATCACTATCAGTAACTTAAATTAAATTGTTCCACATGTTTACACATCTAAGTAGTTATTCGCCGTGCAACTTTTCCATGTGAATATTTTCCAGATATTATTTAAAATATCAAATTTTGTCGTTAATACAGTGGCAATATAAAAACCAGTTTTTTTTTTTAAACAACATATCAATTTTTTTTCCCACACAGTATAAATAGGTTTTAATACATTAAAATATAGAGCTGCTAAATACATTAATTCAATCATATCAGGGGGTCCATGGTTTTAAAAGGACATCATCACAGGGCCCAGGATTGTCTCCCCTCTGACGCCCTGCTGTGCCTTTATTTTACTGCCAATTTCTCTGCAGTGTTGATAAAAAGGGTTTTTACAAAAAAGTATATTGATGTACCCTATGTTCTGACAATGTTATAGATTAAAGTCAGAATAACATCATCAGTATGAGAGGCAGAGCATCACCCCCTCTTTTAAATTACTTTGTATATTGTTATACAATAACAATGATGACAGCCATTCTAATCGGCACATTTAAGATCGCTTTAAGATATATTTATCTAAGAAAAGCACACACACAACACCGTGAGCTGCATAGTACCAATAAATCAAGTTCCTGTTGGCTTTGGCTTTTCTTTAAAAAAAAAAAAAGAAGCAGTGTTAGATAAATTATATGAAGCGAGATGGATATCTCAAAAACTTCAGAATGAAACGGCAAACAAAATGGAAGACAATATAAGGAGCGATTAATCTTGTCATGCACTAGCCATTCCTAGTTTGTGAAATATTGCACAGAGACATTTAAGAGGCTACATTATGCCCTTTTACGAAGTCTTGATTTAGTTTTTTGGGGTCTACTAGATTCTGTTTTCATGCTTGAATGTTCAAAAAAGTCATTATTTTTCAAATATTTCACATTGTTGCAGCACCTTATTTCCCAGTCTATCAGTAACGCTCTGTTTAGTTCCTGTCTCTATGAAGCCCCTCCTTCTGAAAAGCACAATGTGCTCTGATTGGTTGACTGGACCCGTGTGTTGCGATTGGTCAACCACTTTGAGTGTGTTTCAGGAAATGTCACGCCCCTTACCATTACCATAACCGCCAGTTACACCGTGTCCTAACTACACGCGATAAAAGGTATCTTTTCCATGTTAATCAGAGTTTTTGTCCTAACCAGGCGACACGCAAAGTTTTTAATTTAAAAAAACGGTTCCTATTTCTGCGACGTCGCGGCTGACAGATCCGTCCAACCAGAGATCTCATTGGATGGAAGTTCTGCGTGTCATGAATATTTAATCATCAAACATGGACGACGAGGAACTGATTGTCGAAGTTCAAAGGCATTAGGTCAAGCGATAACGGATAATTTACCTCAGCTTTTGAAAGCATATAATATAGCATTCAAAATTAATTCTATGCAAACGTACAACTGTACTTCGTAACAAAATTAGTCAATGAGTGTATTTTGTTAATGTTTTGATTTTTAATAATGTTATTTCTTGATTTGATTATGTCCTTACCCATTTCCAATGCGAGTGCGGGCCACAGTGCGCTTTCACAGAGAGACTCCGCCCACACGCTGTTCTGAATGGCTGTGATTTTTGATTGACATGTGGCGTCACACTTAATGTCACTGGAATTTTATCGCGTCACGTGTAGTTAGGACACGGTGTTACACTACTACACTCAATAAACTACTAACATAACTCAACCTGGCATATGGCTTGGGTGGGAATTATTTAGATGAGGAATATTGAGATGTGTTTGTTCCTGGAAGAACGTTCAAAACTATACAATTGAGGCTTCAGGGAGCCTCAAAAACAGTTGTGCACTGATATGGAGAATAATTTCTTTTGGAGTGACTGTAACTTTGCAGACCTTTTGCTCAAACATCAACATTACAAACTAAAGAGAGTTGAAAATGTAAAAAATAAGAGGGGGCAGTGAGAGACACTCTCAATCTACTTAATATTAATGAACGAATAACAAACAGATACAGCATAACTGGTGAGATAATAGACCATGGCCGCTCAGTATGGGGCAAACTTCTGCCGGTCAGATTTTTTGATGCTGGATGAGGTGGGGATCTTTGCTGTGTAGGGCGCGAGGCCGGCCGGGAGGCCTGCGGAGGCGGCCGCGTGCACTGCCAGCAGGGGGACGCTTTTCATGCCAAACAGGCTGGAAACAGGCAATGCGTAGTGGGCACTGGGGAGGGAGGAGATGGACGAGGGGGAGTGGACATTAATAGAGGAGGGAGCAGCCAGCATGGCCATGGAAGAGGGTGTGGAGGCGGAGGAGCTGGACTGGGAGAAGCCCAGGCTGAGGTCGATAGGTGTGCTGGAAGAGGAGGACGATGCAGCCTGGATGCTCAGTTTAGCCATCTCTAAACTGCAAACACACATTCAGATCCACGCAAACAAGGAGGGACGTAAGGACAAATGTGTGGTTAATTGAGGGGTTACGGCCGGGTGCACACAAGAGGAGAGAGTGACATGGGAGGGAAGTGAGAGAAATAGAGAAAAGAATAATCAATTTAAGGGAATGTTATGTGTTACAAGAAGGAATAATAATAAGGGTTTAACATGCCTGGATACGAATTAATAAAGGAGTGCCAAATGGGTGAGATGAAACAGACCACATGACTGCTGTCTACAACCTTACACCATTACGTAAAATAGATTGTGGGAAAAGAATAGTTCATCCAGAAATGGTTGTTTTGTCATCGTGTTTACTCACTCTCATGATTTACTTTCTTCTGTAAAACACAAACGGAGAAATGCTCTTATTTTGACCATATAATGAAAGCGGATGGGGACTTGGGTTGTCAAGATCCACAATGAAAGGATATTCCAAGTCTTCTGAATCATATTGTTTAATTGACGAAAAGGCCAACATTCGAGTTGTTATTCTTCTCCTCCACTGTAGCTCTCAAATTAAATATGATGGCAGAAATTACATTTGACATTAATGCATTTGGTTATGAATCACATTAGAAACAACTGATGTGATGCACTGAATGCACACTTTTTCATTTTAAATACAATGGGTTTAATTGAATAACGATTTAATTCAAACAGAGCTGTCTAGAATATACACTAGTGTAAAATGCTCTCCAAGGCTGCATTTATTTTATCAAAGATAAAGTAAAGACGGTAATACGGTGAAATAGTTCAATAAAATGTGTTTTATTCCTGTGATGGCAAAGATGAATTTTAAAATTAGGTAAACACTTCAAAATAGCCCATAGACTCTAACAATGATAAAACCACTGCTTTAATGAAAAAGTGGAAAACGTTTCAGTCCTATTTAACTATAGGCATTGGGAAAGGTCACATGCAACCAAAACATTTGCCACTTCTTCATTAAAGCAGTCCTTTTATTCTGCAATTGGTGGTTCCCCTTCATTGTTAGAGTGTGTGGGCTTTGTTGAAGTGTCCCTAATTGGAGTTTTTGATCTACACTGGACAATTATTTAGTCAGTGAGTTCAGGCTTCAGTGTCACGTGATCTTTCAGAAATCATTCTCGGCTGATTTTCTGCTCAAGATACATTTCTCGTTATTATGATCAGTGTTAAAAACAGTTGTGCTGCTTAATATTTTGGTGGAAAACATGATACTTTTTTTGCAGGATAATAGAAAGTTCACAAGAACTAGAAATTTTTGTAACATCATAAATGTATTTACTGCCACTTTTGGTCAATTTAATGCATCCATCCATGCTGAAAAGTATTATTTCTTTCAAGAAAAAAAAAAAAGTTGTTTTTCGGGGGGTCTTTTTTTGGGTGTTTTTTTTTTTTAGACATGGTCCTTATGAACGATCACAGTATGTAAAATTTAAGATTTTCAATAATTCTTTTGTGTTCCACAGAAGAAGAAAAGCAGCATACTGATTTGGCATTAAATGAGGGTGAGTAAATGATAAGAATTTCATTTTGACTGAGCCTTTGGTAAAATTGTGAGAGGGAAAGGTCTCACCTTGCACTGATGAGGTACTGAGCCACGCTGATGTTGGCTGGGGAGCCTGTGATGGTGACGTGGCGCACTGCCGAACCGTCTGTGGCTCCAGCAATTTTGATCTGGGCACCAGACATCTGGCGAATCTCATTGATCTTACTGCCCTGTCTGCCAATGATGCAGCCTATGAGCTGAGAGACAGAGACACAGACGGGTGAGTAGCAAACAACATCTGGACATTAAAAAACTGGAGGCTGATATTGAACCTCTAGGACATGGAAGTTGTTTTTCTCCACTAAATGGCATTGTACAGCATGATAGTAAAGCCTACATCTTCATTTTTATTTTAATGGTCCCATTTGAAAACATTAGATTCACTTACAACTGAATTAATGTCTTTACAATAAAAACAAAACATAAAACCAACTGGCTTATATTTTAAAGTAAGGTAAATAAGGCAAGCAGACTTTTCAAGCAAAACACAGCAAAAAAGTTCACTTTTAAAAAAACTTTTGCTCACCTCCATGTCATCCAAGATATCCATGTCATTCATGTCATAAGGATTTTGATGAAAACATTGCAGGATTTTTCTCCATATAATGGACTACAATGGGAACCAAACGGTTCAAGGTCCAAAAGACAGTTTCATTGCAAACTGTTCAAAGGGCTTTAAACGATTCCAGACGATGAATAAGGGTCTTATCAAGCAAAATGATCGCTCATTTAAAAAAATAAATAACAAAGTTGAAGTTTTATAAGCTCAGAGTCTGTTCTGTGATGCGCGTTCGTGACTCTCCTGTTCAAACTCGTTCATCAAAATAAACAAATCTTTTTCCAAGTCAATTCATTCGTTGAATGAGCCAAATGACACGAAAAAAGATTTGTTCATTTTGATCGAACAGGAGAGTCACGAACGCGCATCACAGAACAGAGCAAGGCGACCATTTGAGCTTATAAAACTTCAACTTGGTTGTTTATTTATGAAATGAGCGATTGTTTCGCTTGATAAGACCCTTATTCATCGTCTGGAATCGTTTAAAGCCCTTTGAACAGTTTTCAGTTTGCACTGAAACTGTCTTTTGGACCTTAAACCATTTGGTTCCCATTGAAGTCCATTATATGGAGAAAAATCCTGGAATGTTTTCATCAAAAACCTTCATTTCTTTTCGACTGAAGAAAGAATGACATGGACATCTATCTTGGATGACATGGGGGTGAGTAAATTATCAGCAAAAGTTTTTTTTAAATGTGAACTACTCCTTTAAAATATTTCATTTTATTTTTTTAATCAAATAAATGTTACCCTGGTGAGCATAAGATACTTTTTTTTTCCAAAAACATTAATAAAAGTGGTTGAAAGTAATTGCAAATATGGCATAATTTATAATTCTAATGTATTAATATTTTGCACCTAATATTTTAGATAATGCAATGATATTCAAACAATTGAAGTGTGACTCAAGTGTCCAAATACTTTTTGGGCCCACTGTACACAACGATAACTGCAACAAACATCCTAAATCTATATCGCATAACTTACATCGTTAGGTATGCTCAGCTCATGAGAAGTGGTGGCAAAGGAAGCCTCCAGACCTATGCAGGGAAATGGGAAGGTAAGCAAAAGACAACCTAATGGCTGACAAAAAAATTGATTTAGAAACATTTTTACATTGCTACACTGCCACTGAGACTGCTCCAATAAAATCGAAAAATCTCACATTAAAATCGCACAATGTATAAAAGCATTAACGCTGCTTTAGTACATGAACGAGTCATGAACGAATTTATGGTAAATTCATGCTCGCCTGGGATTCAAAAACACCCATAAAAGCTTTTCCAGATAGCGCACATTATCGGAAACGTCTATGGAGAGGCTGTCTCTCTTCAACTCCCTGTTTCCATAGTAGTAATTATGGGCTGGCACTTGCAATGTGTGGACTCTGTTTGTCATGATAAATGTGGGCTGCTGTGAGAGTGGGCTTCAGGTTTGCTCAGGAGAATGCTGGCGGTTTGAACAGGTCAGGGGTATTGTGGAGGTATGGAGTGACATGAGGGGGGAAGAGTGTTAAATGTTCATGATGAGTTCACATATAAGGAGAAAGAGGGGTGACACATATGCATCACATGGCCGTCATGATGCTGTCGTCATGGTGCCACGACACGTCTGTAGATTCCATTGACAGCTCAAAGCATCCGAACACAGGCTAACTAGAGCTATCGGGACTGGTCGGTGGTCGTATCATGGCACGGCATGTGCGGCATTGTGCTGGAAGAAGTGTTATGATATTTTTTTTTGCCTTACCACAAAACGGCTTCGCCCTCTTTTTCTTCAGAGTGGAAAGGTAGAACATGCGGTGGTCAGACATGACGGATGAAAGAGCGGAGAGGGAAAGAGACAGATCGAGAGAAAGACAGGCAGAGAGACAGACAAAGGGAGAGACAGACTTCCCTGGGGAGCTTTGGGTACGTACCAGGGAAGGTGGGGTTGCTCTGCCCAAGGGAGGTAAGGGGGATATGCTGCATAGCCAACTGGTGAAGCTTGGTCAACTGCGGGGGCAGGAAGGGAGGTTAGAACTAGCCAATCAAAATGGAATTATTTCAGAGGACACTCACATCTACAGACAGAACAGCACCCATATCAAGTCTCAAAATTGGATTAGTTATCAGGTCCCCCTCTGGACTTACCGTCCACCTCTCCAAATAATGTGATCGAAAAACCCGATTTGCATTTCCTGAAGGGAATTCAAGTGTTTGCGAGGAGGTAGGAAAAGGATTGTGTTAAAGTGTGAGAATACTGAATGACACACGTGTGGTTTTCTGCCAGCTGTCTGTGAGAATCAACAGGCGATGTGACACCGGCTTTGCAGTTTAGAGGTAGTGTTGCATGCAGGACCAATCACAAATCAGATAGATGCAAATAGATGAAAGAAAGAAGACCGATCACAATTGGTTATTATGATTACGTTATCGACGTATGATTACCGTTGGTTATTTTTTTATTGGCAAACAAGTCAATGACACTTTCAAGTTAATATAAAATGTATTACAAATTACAAAACTAAAAATATATAACACACCTGAAATGATCTTCTAAAAGTCTCAATGATCTGGAAGTCTGTATTTTTTAACTTTACTGACTTTATAGCTCACAATTGCTACTTGATACTACACTGTAAAAAATATTTTCATGATTTGTAATCACATTTTTTCTTTTGTCAAATCAACTTAAATAATTTATATAGTTCAGATAATTGTAAAATATTGCTATTATAATATCAAGTAGCAACTGTAAAAAAAATATTTTTGTAATCACAACATTTTTTCTTTTGTCAAATCAACTTAACTAATTTATATAGTTCAGATAACATAATATTTTGAGTTTCTGATCTCCTTCATTGTATTAACTCAATTTTTCCATTTTCAATGAACTTAAAATTTGAAGGCAGCCATGTTAGTTATTTTTTTACGTTAAACCAACAATATTTTTTTACAGTGACAGTGTGATTATATCTCACAATATAACATTTTAGCTTACAATTCTGACTGTTTTTATACCTGCAACTCTACTGTATCTCTCGCTGCAGCTTAATATTTGATAAGTGATTATATCTCGCAATATCATACAATTGCAACTTTTTAATTAACTGCAACTTTACTGTATATCTCGCATTGACTCGTAATCTCGTAATTGTACCTTCACTGTGTGACTTTACATCTCACAATTGCAACTTGAATTGAGACTAAAATGTTCTTCCACAGAACTAAGTTTGTATGCTGAACAGTTTGACCTGAACTGATTGCAGAAGATAGGGATTTAAAACAAGCCCTAACTAGATAGAAATGAGCTATTTAGGGTTTTGTCAATACAGGGCTGCTTTGCAACCATTGTAATTACAGCATTCATATGTGAGCGTTTCATTAAACACACATTGTTTACTTATGTCTTGACTAAGGATATGAAATAAACAATTAGTAAGTGATGTTAGTGATGCTTGATACAGTAAGATATTAAAGAAAAGGAGAGCGTCTTCATTCCTTATGCCTCTGATATCCTCGCTCTAAGGAAGGTATAGAGGCTCCAATGTGACCAGAGGGACAGGGATATTGGTACTTACAGTCGGTGTGTGTGTGTGTGTGTGTGTGTGTGTGTGTGAGGAATGCAGTGGTAGAAATGTGGTTGTGTCAGGGGTGGGATGTGGCTCGGGCGCTGCAGTGGTGTTGTGAAGTGTGCTGTGAATGATACTGATCAGACAGTGGGACAAACACTCACGTCTTGGGGTGGAATGGCAAACTGTCCTGGAATAGCAAATGCCTGTGAAACAGATAACACGTTTAGGTTAGTGCAAATAATAACAGCCAATTTGCTCCTTGGTCATTAGTCACAGTTGACATTGTAAGCCCATGGACCGCCTGCAGTCTATTTGATGCGTATTTCATTAAAAACCTAGAAAATCTTTGTGAAAATCAAAAGTGTAAATCCGAATTCAAATAAAATAGTTTTAAAGGCCAATTCACTCTGAGCCACCAAAAGCCGACAGATGCAACAGACACTTTGTAGGATCAGTTCTTTTTCCCAGTCGCCGTCTGTTGGCACTCATTTTTGTCGACTGAACACGTGTTTAATCAGCATTTGTTGGGTTGTGAAATGGCTGAGAAGTACTGTAATCTTGGGATTGTCTGTGTTAGTTGGCGCAGTGTGAATTGGCCTTTCACAGGTTGATATTATGAGCACTTTTGTAAAATAACTATTGGATTTTCCATGTTTGCCAGGTTAGTGGCTTCAAATCTCGTTGACACACGTACAGTACTATGTTTACTAGTTATCCACAAGCAAACCTAATTTGCTGTGTAGAATAATCAATACGTTTTGCTCAGCAAGTCTACACAGGTTTCTGTATAACCAGACTGCTGATCCATATTTTCAGTTTTTTAGATGCCTTTTAATTTATAATTTCACATGAATTCACCCCTAAAGAATGCGTAAAACAAACAGTGGTTGGTTGCTTTGTTCGTGTGGACCAGACTTTACACCACAAGTCAAAGTCTGTCCATGTGATTACTTCTTGTCATTAACATATTTAAGAGTCCCAGGTGGAATTATGACTAAACAATGTTAAATTCTTCTTAATGTAACCACAAGGGGGCATCACATGAGCATCCCATGATATCACCAGACATAGCAAAAAAAAAAAAAAATACAAAAATTAACTCCTTCTCAGCATTTTAATCCTCCAGACAAATGGAGCTTGTAGCTGACATGATTTTTCATTATACAGACACATAGCCTTTGCAGTCCTCACCTCAGTCAAACTAAATGTCATGATCACTCAAATGAGCAACAGAAGCCCTTTGGATGACATACCAAGAGGAGATGTCAAAAATAACGGGTCGGAGTTAGTATTAATTAGTATTTTTCACAAGATCTGAATAGAATACTGATGAATGAATTGTTTAGTCCAGCTACTGTGTATACCGCTGTGTTTACAATGATTAGTCAGTTTGACAATTCAAACACCTATAGATGTGAATTAGTGATTAAAAGCCAGTCTGATCTGCATGTTCAAGAGCACTTAAAATAGTCCAATGGCCACATTGGTGACTTACTGATTGCATCTGTGGGTTCGATTTAGTCTCCCGGCTGATCTCGCAAAATAATTATAGTAAATATCCACACGAGTGTCCCACAGGGAACATTACTGCTTGTGAAGTGCTGTATCGATTGTAAGGTTTCTGATGGATGGAGAACTCACCGGCGCAGCATGTGTTTGCGACAACACTGTGTGGCTGCCACCTACGGAGGGTTTAGGTCGGTATGGGATGGTGGCTCCTTTAGGTGGCGACTAAACGAGGGAGATAAACAGTCAGGACAAAAGCAAAGGCGTTTAGTCAGTATGTTTCTGTTAAGTTAAGCCTCACTGGATTTCACTGTTCAAAGCCCAAAGTTAATGCGGGCCAGGGAAAAGCCTGCAAAACAAAGGCATCCAAGGTTGGATTCTGGGAACTAATGAAGCAAAGAGGAACATTTAACATGTAGTGCATGCGCTCAAAGCGAATGCAAATGAAGTGTGAAGGTTAAAAAGACCTGGAGATATTCCCCCACCTCTGAAATAACATTTAGACAAATCATGCATAATATAATAGCACAGATTTTCAATTAAAAGATGGATGCGCATTCACGTGCACGCTCACAAACCTCCAGCATGATGGTGCAGATGTGTTTCACACACTGTGTGATGGCGTGGGGGGTTCCTGAGATGGTCACGGCTCTCTCGGTCGAGTCAGGCAGTAGGTCTCCTGCGACCTGGACCTGGGCACCTGTGCTCTGACACACGGCAACACTTCTGGTCAATACATGCTGGACACGATGATTAGAAAAGCCACAAATGGCATCATTCAAATGTATTAAAATAGTGACAGTTAAAAGGAGAAGGTCATTATCCGCTCCACATCTGTATCATAGTTAGCTACATTAGTTAACATGTACTAAGAATCAACAATACTTCTTCAGCATTTATTAATCTTAGTTAATATTAATTCCAACATTTACTAATACGTTATTAAAATCAAAGGTTGTATTAGTTAACATTAGTTAATGCACTGTGAACTAACATGAACACACAATGAACAGCTGTATTTATATTAACTAACATTAACAAAGATTAACAAACACTGTAACTAATGCATTGCTCATGTTAGTTAATGCATTTACTAATGTTAACTAATGAACCTTATTGTAAAGTGTTATCTTTATCCGTTATCTTTAAGCTACAATATAAAGTGTATATTGTAACTGTCATGTGCCATTGTAAATTGCGACTTAATTTTGTGGGCAAAAAAGGTCCATTGAAGTCACTTTAAAACCAAGAAGCTTTATTTTGGTAAACCCAGTGAATCCATGTGAACAACTTCGACCCATCGACCAAAAATGCATGCGAAATTTATGGTCGTAAGGATTCGTGTTGATTTTGCCTGTGAAAATTGTGAAAGATTTATGACAAATACTGCATATGACTAATTCCACAATGTTTTTCGCCTACTATATACTAGGCATATTCAAACAGTGAAAGTAGTTTCGATAATATATAGCATTTGCATAGACACTTGGGGGTATTAAGAAAATATCATGATGCAATTAACCAATCACATTAGATTGTTCCAGAGAGTATGGATATTTTTGTAATATGGGATATTGATATGGATGAGAGAATATGGGAGTCCAATATTGCACATATTAAAAACATTTACAATAGGACTACTAATGATCAATTATCATTTTTCATAATGTAAGTTCTCAGCATTGAGGAGGTTTACACATTTTGATAGCCACTTGCACTTGCAAAAAAGTGTGCTATACAGTCCCTTTTGCCACTACAGCTATTCTCATGTCTAGAACTGACATTGTTATCGTCTGGCCAGTTATTTAGGTCAAGCTATTTGGATACTGTATATAAATGTGAGTCTATTTAGGCCTTGGTGTGCCGTCCTGTCCTAGACATTCATAGCAACTGGGAATAAAAGCAGCCAGTTCACCCCTCGCAGCCCTCAGCAGCGAGGACAGCTATGTTTATTCAATGTGATCCACCAGCCGAAATACAAAAAACAAAGCCTTCGAGCAAAAGCCACTGTCCTCATGTCAATTTCAGCAGCTAAATGACAACGAATGGTTGCGCTCGTGAGATGGATCGCTTTGTTTTCCATCTACGAAAGCTGTGAATAGATAAGTTTGAGGAAAAGTGAGGGAGTTCAAGAGATTACAGCTCAGGGGTGCAGCCGTCTCATAACGTGGATTAAGCGGAAGCCTCAGCCGAGCGGCCCCCTGTGCTCAGGAATAAAAAGTTCTGTCTTGATGAGGACAATCAATCATGCTGATGTTAAGTGTTTCTGCCTGCCGCTGAGGCAATGGAAACTAATTGTTTAACGGCTCATTCGGTGCATCATCTGGGAGCCGCTGTGACCTGCATTACAAACCCTGTGCCTTTGCAAACAATTAAACTTCTACCTAGAATATCTACCTCTCTGATCTCTTTGATCTTTGAGCCTCCTTTGCCAATGAGTGAACCGCACTGACTGGCAGGGAAGACGAGGCGCAGTGTCACAGGAGGCCTGCTCGTCACGGTGCTGTTTATCATGGATGCCAGGATATCCTGAAAGAGATGTGTATATATCAGAAAGCAGCTCAATTCAGCTCCCGTCAAGTCATTGTGTCCTTTTTTTTTAATAAAAACAAGTTTATAAGCCAATTTTCAGGGATACAATAGTGTTTGAAATGAAATCTTCCTCTACACACAAAATTATTGACAGGATTTTACAAGATTTATTTATTTATTCACTTAGACGTTTACTGGGAGATCAATGCATTTGCTGTGCTGTATCAATGTGAAAGATAAACATATCAAGCTGCATTGTGGGACAAAAGCGTAAATAGTTGTAAGTCAGTATTACAGTAATTAGTGTTCCCCTTGGCTGGGACCTAATTGACTTTTAATTCATTTCATTAAAAGCCTGTGTAATAATGTTACAGAGCACAATTGGCTGCACTGTGCAACGTGGAGAAATAAAGCAAGTGACTGACTCGTAATTCAGATCATGGACCCTTGCACCCAGCGCAATAGACTTTGTGCAAAGCCTCCACAGACGCACGCCGGCAAACTAGGAAATTAACGTGCGCTCCCTGGGCGGTTCAGGGCAAAAAAGGAGGCGTGTTACGGCGCAAACAATCCCTGGTGCTATTTTGCAGTTCCAGAAAACAATTGCGCCACTGACCACCAAAAAAAAAAAAAGTCTAAAGCCCGTTGCGCGCACGTTCAGATGCTGTTTTAAAGGGATAGTTCACTTTGAAATTAATTGTTGATATGTTTTAGCTTACCTCAACATCCAAGATGTAGGTGTGTCAGCAGTATTTTTAGTTTTGATATTTTTAGGTCAAATCGTTCGTGTCTATCAGTCATATAATGGAGGTCTATGGGGTCCACCTCAAAGAGCATGCACAGAGAAGTCCAAATTAAACATGATTCAATGACTCGTAAATGTAAGTACACATTGATGGCCTAAGACAGGAAACGAGCGGATTGTGTGAGAAAACGAACAGTATTTATATAGTTTTTACCTCTTGTAATCACAGCCACAAAGCACCCGCGCCCTCAGATTACTTGAACGTGGCTGTGATTACAAGAGGTAAAATCTATATAAAAACTGTTCGTTTTCTCACACAAACCGCTCGTTCGTGTCTTAGGCCATCAATGTGTACTTACATTTACTTACAGTCATTAAATCATGTTTAATTTGGACTTCTCTGTGCATGCTCTTTGAGGTGGACCCCATAGACCTCCATTATATGACTGATAGACAAGAACGGTTTGACCGAAAAATATCAAAATTGAAACTACTGTGGAAGCAAAGACACCTACATCTTGGATGTCCTTGAGGTAAGCTAAAACATACCAAAAATTAATTTTAAAGTGAACTATCCCTTTAAGCATGCATGCTTGGCCATAAAACTGAGTGTGAACGGCGCACATACACTGTAGATGATTCTCTCATATTAAAAACACAAGGAAAATCATTGTTGTGTCCATGACGATGGGAAAAATAGGCATAAAGCTTATGCATTTACCCAATTTGTTATATGCTTGTTTAACTGAAGCTAATTTGGGTGGGTTTGTCCCATCCCCAATGTCCCATCTCTTAAAGGGAATGTGATATGACGCTCTTATTGCTTTGTTTCCCGTTACGCCCAAACCACACCCATGAATAATGAAGCTACTTTAGACCAACCCCTTTTAGATTTGCGTCGAGCGCAAGAGTCATTTATCCCGCCGGTTAAATAGCAACAGCGCCGAGTTTCGCCCACAAAGTTACTTGCGCTTTACGCTTGACACTTGTGTTTTAGATCGTTTAAAATAGGGCCCCATGTCTTGCAAACTTCAACATTGTAAGTTATAGAAATAATAATTGTATTAACAATCAAGGCAGGATGAGTTACTATACTATTTTAATATGATCTTTCTGCATTTAAAAGTCATTAACAATCAAGCAACAAATATAATCACATGAGTGAAATAAACGAGAACAACAGTATAATAAACCATCAAATAGTACAACAAAAGGCACCCGCATAATCATCCATGGAGTGCAGGCACTACAGAAATCTCACTGTTAAAGAACTAAAAACTATGAAATATCAAGTTGATTCATTTGCATAATACTTTTATATCATTCACTTTATACACTGTAAGAGCTACTTCTGTAAAATGAATGGGAAAGTATAGCAAATAATAGCTAGGAGGTAACCCCACATAGGTATTTTACATATACTAAATGAATTAAATCACCCTTGGCATTATTGGCTCATTACTGCTGGAAAAATTCCGCCTACCTCCTCAAACTTTTCAGCAATCATGGCGAAGGCTTTGAAGATGACCTCAGACGGTCCAGTGATGGTGACAATGCGCTCTGGACTGGAACCGTCAGATATATTAATCCGGGCTCCGCTCTGAATCCACAGAGAAAAGCAGAGATTTTGTGCTGCATCACATTTAATTGATCAATGGCCTCTGGGCTGCCCCCTCGCAAAGTTAAATACCAGATCATGCAGATAATAAGAGGAGTTTGCTCAAACTGAAAATCATCCCATTTTTCCACCGTCTAATTTTTGAAATACATGTGGCCACCTAAAAATAGTTATACATTTAATCTTAATACAGCTGTTCAGCATTAATAGTCTGTACTGCATGTAATTTCAAAGCAATCGTCCATAGGCAGTGCTGGGTAGATTACTGTACCTACAAATTCTAGTTCATTACTGATTCAAAATTACATGACAAAATAGTAGTTAGTAAAGTAATCCATTACATTACACATTTAGGTAATGTAATCTGACTACTTTTGGATTGTTTTTGCATTACTTTTGACCTAACTCATTAATCACAGTGAATTGAATAGGATAATATGTGCCACATTGATATAAACATAGTCATACAAAGAGAAAGAAAATATAATCCATTCTTTATCTACAACATGAAGTGCGTTAAACTGACTGGGGTTTGTGAAGGAACTGCAGGGGGTTCCTGAAATTAATCATAAGCTAATAGTTAAATAAATGATAAAAAATTAAATATGTGTTTGAAAGAAAATAGCATTCCAAAGACACAACAATCCATGGTTAAATGACTTTCTGAGTAATCATTAAAATGATAATTACTGTGTTTGTCAGGAGTCGATATGCTTTGTGGCCTCTCAATTTTCCGTGCAATTATAGCCATGACTAGTGTCTGGTCTGTCTGTGCAATTACACAAAACTAGAAGACTTTCTGACTGTGTGGATCATTTAAAACATGAGAAGAACCAAAATTATGAATGGAGAATCAATATTATGAATGATTTACTGCCATTGTGTAAATATGTAATTAGGTAATCACTGCCATTGTGTGAATAATACATATTTAATCAATTAAAAGTCACTGTAGTCTGATTATGGGTATTATAATCTAATCTAAATTAGTTATTTATCTAAATCTAAGTACTAAATTATTATAGTGTACTAATAATAGTAATTTTTGGAATCTGATTGTTGATTAATCCAGATTATATGTAACAAGTTACTAACCAGCACTGTCTATAGGTAATAAGAAAAACATCAGTTTTAAAAACTTTAATATGTGAAATGTAAAATTATGTTTTGGTATTAAAGAATAAATGAAAAAAGACTAGTATTATTTAATCATGAAGATCAATGGAGTACTTACCTCATCTCTCATTTTTTTGACAGTCTCTCCTTTCTAAAAACCAAACCAGGTAAAAATCATTTTAAAAGACTAATTGAATAAAAAACGAATTAATTATGTCAGAATGTGTATATTAAGATTAGATTGTAAGCCATATTAAACACAGTAAGAACAGTGCTTTGAGACTGAAAATTGTTTACCTTTCCAATGATACTTCCAACTTCCTAGAAACACACACACAAAACAAACAAACACAAAACGTGATTAATCTAAATGATTGCATGGTAAACTGTAGAACTACTGGATTGCAATGTTTCATCTGTCTTCTTAAAGGCCTTAATATTCTACACTATTTATCAAAATGTAAACGTTTTTCAAATAAATGTATTATGCTCACCAAGGATGCATATACTGATAAGAAATACAGTAAAAACAGTAATATTGTAAACTGTAATTTTAATACTACTGTAATTATTGATTTATTCATGCAAAGCTGAATTTTTAGCATCATAACTCCAGTCTTCAGTGTCACATGATCCTTCAGAAATGTGTCACTCAAGAAACTTTTCTTATTATTAATTTATTATCAATGATTTTTTTGTGGAAAGTGATCGTTTTTTCAGGATTCTCTGAAAGTTCAAAAGAAAAGCATCTTTTATAGCAGTGTTTTGTAACATTATAAATGTCTTCACTGTCACTTTAGATCAATTGAATGTGTGTCACGACTGGGCTGAGGAAGAAGACGAGATTACGGGCAGCAGATCTAAATGCAGCTTAACTTTATTAAATAAAACAAAAGATTAGACCAGATTAGATTAGAGAACACGAAGAGTAAACGTAACTGTGTGCTATGGCATTTGCGCACGAAGGTACCTCACGAAACAGTGTTGATCTAAAGCAAAATAGAGCGAGCTTTGGTGAAAACTCAACAAATATTAAATTACTACAGTAGTCATTTCTCAATAGAAATGACATCAGAAGTGGAAAACGTTGGTCAAAAACATTAATTTACATTTTACACACAAACTGACCACCAATAGCAACTTTCTGATACCATCTTTTTTTCTTTGTTTTAGCTCAACTGTCACAGAATGGAAAGCACAGGATTGTGGGATATCAAAGGCAGTGAAGGATACGTCTATTCTGCCTTCAATCCATCAAATGAAGGTATCTTAGGAGACTGGAAGTTGAGCTAACATCGGATTCAGACGTGCCTTGTTGCCTTCCTACCTTAGCAGCAATTTTAACTTTATAACTGAATCAATACTGAAACAGGTGTGTGTAATCATTCAATGAATGAGCAACCATGACAACAGAAGAAAGGAAACACAAATAACAATTAGCAAACTAAAAGCCCTTGAAACTGAAACAGAAAATACAACAGATTGTGACAGCGTCCTTGCTGATTAAAAATATTAAAGGAGTAGTTCACTTTAAAAAAAAAAAAGTTTTGCTGATAATTTGCTCACCCCCATGTCATCCAAGATGTCCATGTCTTTCTTTCCTCAGTCGAAAAGAATTTTTTTTTTTGATGAAAACATTCCAGGATTTTCTCCATATAATGGACTTCAATGGGAACCAAACGGTTCAAGGTCCAAATGAGAGTTTCAGTGCAGCTTCAAAGGGCTTTAAACAACACCAGACGATGAAAAAGGGTCTTATCTAGCGAAACGATCGGTCATTTAAAAAATAAATAATTTTTTTTAAGTTTTATAAACACAAATGCTCGCCTTGCTCTGTTCTGTTATAAGCGTTCGTGACTCTCCTGTTCAAACTCGTTCATCAAAATGAACAAATCTTTTTTCGAGTCATGACTCGAAGGGTCCTAGATAAGACCCTTATTCATCGTCTGGAATCATTTAAAGCCCTTTGAACAGTTTGCAGTTTGCACTGAAACCGTCTTTTGGACCTTGTACCATTTGGTTCCCACTGAAGTCCATTATATGGAGAAAATCCTGGAATGTTTTCATCAAAAACCTTAATTTCTTTTCGACTGAAGAAAGAAGACGTGGACATCTTGGATGACATGGGGGTGAGTAAATTATCAGCAAAACTTTTTTGAAAAGTGATTCAAACTTTTGAATGGAATTAAGGAATATCAAAATATATTGATAATAATAAGAAACATTTCTTAAGTACTACTGACAATTCAGCTTTGCCATCACAGGAATAAATTACAATAGAACAAATTTATTTTGAATTTTTATAAAAAATAAATCACAATGTTTCTGTTTTGCTTGAATTTTTGAAGACTTCTTTCAAAAACATTCAAAAATAGCAATTATTCCAACCTTTAACAGGTAATGAAGATAAGTAGAGATGTTCATAAGCAGGAAGATTGTGACTTAATTTCTTTTCATGAGAGAAGATGATTGCATAAATGCCACTTTATGCTGCCAATACTATTTCTGAATATGCCGTCTAAAAAAAAACATTTTCGAATCAATTATATTGGCGATCTATAATCTAAAATGTCACCTGTTCAGTTATAAATCTTTCTCAGTTACTGTATTTATTGCTTGACTGGATGCGCTTGCAAAACACAAGGCTGAAAGCAAACAAGTAGAGCTCTGTGAGCATTGGAGATGTGTCTTACCTTTCCATGCATTAGCAGGCGGATGGTGAGGGTGACATTTAGCCCCCCCTCCGATACTCCTCCCTCCTTCTCATTCATATTCATTCTTCTCTTGGGTCTAGATGCTTCAAACAGACTGTCTCTGTGCACACAAACAGACCAATTTACCCATTCCGTCAGAGCAGATATGAAATGAATTTCAGTGTGCAAACATCTCAGCCATGAAAACTCATAATTCTTTCCCATTACCCCTCTCAGCTGTAAATGTCTATTCAGTCGTGTGTTCGTTTTGTTTAGCTGGGTACCTGTTGTTGTGCTCTGACATTAAGTTGTGTGTTATTTCCCTTTTGGACTCGGGTGGGCGAGGACCCGCCTCTAACGTCTCTAATGGTTCTGCTTTAATAGAAGTGGTGTGACCGTGTTTGATAAGACTCAAAAGAGCCACTTGTGTCGTTCTAGGCCTGTGGATCAAGTGATGTTTGTGTGACCATGTCTAACAAGGCCCATTAATTCATCAGTGAGGGAACACAATGTTGGCTGTTCCCAAATTTAACTTTGAGAGTTGTAACAGTTCCCAAAACATCTCCGCAATGGCGAGCACTTTATAACAGAGCCTATTATCATCTGCATCTAAATCGATTCTAAGCCAGATGAGATCACAGAGAACATTCATGGGTGAAACTTAAAAAAATGAGTCAGCATTAGATGGGTGGATTGTTTTAAATGTCCCTTTAATAAGGCCTTATTCATTCCTTATATTCCTCTAATGAGGCCCCGCAGCTATGACAAATAAATGAATGTATTTTCTTTATTTATCAGATCTATTATTCCAATTGAGTCACGATGCTTTCGTTTGTTAGCCCTCTTTGAAAGATACTGCGTTTGAAATGTTTTCAGACTTACATAAGCTGTTAAATGGAACGTGGTCCCTCTTTCCATGACACTCCAGCAGCAGAGGAACTTGCTAAACAGCTGAATAGATCAAAAGAGAACGAAATGTTATATGTAAAGATTTATATCGTCGGAAATTATTTCCATTTTGAATAAATGCTGTTCTTTTTTGAATGATCACTGAAAAAGTATCACAGGTTCCAAAAATATATTCAAAAATATATCTATATCCTACACACTGATAATAACTGAGCATCAAAACAGCATTTTAGATTGATTTCTGAAGAATCATGTGACACCGAAGACGAAAATTCAGAAAACACAGAAATAAATTACATTTCAAAGTATACTAAAATAGAAAACCAATAATTCACAATATTTCTGTATTTTGAAAGGATTATTAGGAACACCATACTAGTACTGTGACCCCCTTTCGCCTTCAGAACTGCCGTGGCATGAATTCAACAAGGTGCTGAAAGCATTCTTTAGAAGAAAGTCTTTTAGCATTCTTCCAGGGCACGAAGCTCCCGTTCCACCACATCCCAAGGATGGTGTATTGGGTTGAGACCTGGTGACTGTGGGGGCCATTTTAAGTACAGTGAACTCATTGTCATGTTCAAGAAACCAATTTGAAATAATTCGAGCTTTGTGACATGGTTCATTATCCAGCTGGAAGTAGCCATCAGAGGATGGGTACATGGTGGCCATAAAGGGATGGACATGGTCTGAAACAATACTCAGGTAAGCCGTGGCATTTAAACGATGCCCAATTGGCACTAAGGGGCCTAAAGTGTGCCAAGAACACATCCCCCACACTATTACACCACCACCACCAGCCTGCACAGTGGTAACAAGGCATGATGGATCCATGTTCTCATTCTGTTTACGCCAAATTCTGACTCTACCATCTGAATGTCTCAACAGAAATCGAGACTCATCAGACCAGGCAACATGTTTCACTAACACTAACATTTAGTGGAGATGAGTGGTACCCGGTGGGGTCTTCTGCTGTTGTAGCCCATCCGCCTCAAGGTTGTGTGTGTTGTGGCTTCACAAATGCTTTGCTGCATACCTCGGTTGTAACGAGTGGTTATTTCAGTCAAAGTTGCTCTTCGATCAGCTTGAATCAGTCGGCCAATTCTCCTCTCACCTCCAGCATCAACAAGGCATTTTCGCTCACAGGACTGCCACATACTGGATGTTTTTCCCTTTTCACACCATTATTAGTAAACCCTAGAAATGGTTGTGCGTGAAAATCCCAGTAACTGAGCAGATTGTGAAATACTCAGACCGGCCCGTCTGGCACCAACAACCATGCCACACTCAAAATGGGTTAAATCACCTTTCTTTCCCATTCTGACATTCAGTTTGAAGTTCAGGAGATTGTCTTGACCAGGACCACACCCCTAAAGGCATTGAAGAAACTGCCATGTGATTGGTTGATTAGATAATTGCATTAATGAGAAATTGAACAGGTGTTCCTAATAATCCTTTAGGTGAATGTGTGTATATATATATATATAGTTTTTTTTTACTTCTGAAAAAATATCAAAAACAATAAAACAATAAAAGGGTTATTTGTTAAATTATGGTGCTCAAAAAATTCCCAGTCATGAACAAGACTAAATGAATAATAGATTCAGCATGCATAATATAAAATACGGTGTCTGAATTTAATAATAATTTTTTTTAAAAAGCCAGTTCTTTTGTGTGGCTAATAGTTCTGTGCTGTTTCATCAGGTAAATGCATAAAACACACTTCTGCCATCCTGTCTAATCCTCTAGGCCCGGATTTGTTTGGCTAATGCTAAATCCTATTTGACCCATTTCTGTCTTTCCAAAGCTTGTCAACAGGCATCTGTAAACATTCTGCCATCATATAGCATAGTACTAATAAGCCCGAACATAGATATCGCACACAATGTTTTTCACATGTCAAATGTGTTTAGGAATCAGGAATTAAAATAATTTATGCCACTGGCATTGAAATGTTGATGTACAAAGAAAATGTTTGGAAATTGGTGAGTCAGATTAGTGTTAAAAAAAGATCAGTCTGTTTTAAATACGTAATTCCAATTGCTAAGCCTTTGTTGTTTGTGAACAGTGCTTTATGTTATATTAAAAAATATTGTAAATTCAGTACATCGCGTTTAACGTCAAACTAAGAGTACGTTTACAAGACAACAATGTACTAAAACCCATACATTTTTCCTTTGAGTTTTTGCGTACAGACGACAACGTTGTTAAAAAAAAATCCCTGTTTACATTGATACGCAAAAAGAGTAAAACACGGAAACGATTACGTTGTTGCTTTTTTAAAAATTGCACTTTGAAACACGTTTTCAAAAGTTCGCATTTTCCAGGCCCCCAAACGGCCATTGTCATGTACGGTAAATTAACGACTAAAACACATTAAAAAGTTTAGTGTAAACAGACAGAAAATGTTATTAAAAAAACTCTTTATCTAAATCTAACAATGAATATGTCCATTCAACAACAATAATTTGTAATATTACTGCCAAAATTCAAAACAATATTTTAGAAAAATTATGTTTGTATTTATTAACATCAAAATATATTTATAAATAGTGTTATATTATATTATGTGAAAAACAGCTCAATATCGTATATATATAGACTAAATATACATAAAGAAAGATATAAACAACAGTTTTCCCTCAGTCAAAGATGAAACAATAACACTGTTGTTGTCAGAAAAGCATTTACACGTCTCGTTTCTTTTGGAAGTCCCTGCGCGTGAGGAGCAGCTTTGGGTTGAAGTTAGCAAACTGACCTGAGAAGTGATGGAGGTTGAGACGGCGCGAAGATGTCAGCTCTGCTTACCCTGTCAATCCAGGATGAGTTAACATTTGCGGATCCAGAGTGTGTATGATTCCCTGAGTACAGAGTTGCCCTCCTTTGTTGTCAGTTGCATTCAGAGAATGGACAGATGGCCTTGTGCCCGTACCTCTGGGCGACTGAGACTAGCTTTACTGTTTTCCCCCCTCTGGCTTAGCCTCTGATAAGCCTTTAGACCAGGCTACGTGAGCCCAGAGACTCTTTCAGTACTTAATACTTACGTAGTTGATGCCACGGCACCTTCATCCCGAGAACGGATGGTCCCGGTAGTATTAAGAAATCCCAAGAAGAACAGAAGGCAACATGTTTTCCATACTTTGGTACAGCTGCCTTACAGACAGCTGACCTCATCAGGGAAAATATTCACAGAAAAAAAGTCTAATTGTGTGACTCATCTTGAAATACGTTGTCCATTCCGGTAGGACAATATGCTTGGACAATGAAATTTGAAGGACACAGAGAAAGAAGAATATGCCCAAAATGCTTTGCCTGACACCCCCAATCAGCAAAGCATCTCCAAATTGACTGTGTCACATCATTATGGACAGAAAGACACAAAGTCTCTGTGGCCGGATTCCCATCCCCCACACCAAGCATCTAGTCCTGCTAATGAGGCCAAAGTCCTGTGAAAACAATGTGGGCCTTTAACAGAAAAAGACGCACTCTGCTCGGCAGCAGAATTTCAAAGTGAATGAATTAGTGGAGCAGAAGTGGCATATTTAATCACTGCCTGCTGTCTGGGATGGAAATGAACAATGGTCTCTGTGGATCTCCTTTCCCTCTCTGCATATGTGTTGATAAATAGTGTAAAATCAAGTTCTAAAACTGTTACATGACAGTGTTATCATTAAAGCAATCAAGACATTGTTTTTTTTATTATGTTAATATGTTCCTTGAGATTTTTTTATAATGTTAATACGTTTTTTTTTTTTTGCACAAATAAAACCCAAATATACATTTTCAACCTTCATTCTGACCATCTGTCTAAAAAGATACATTTTTAAGCGGAGTGGCTCTTTAGAGGCTTGTTAGTAAATGGCCACTGTTATGATTGGCTAACGTCATTACATAGGAAACAGTTATCAACGCCCACTCGCTATTATCTAAATAAAACCGTCATTTACAGACAAGGCATTATGAAATCATTTACTTACTGTTTATGATGCAGCTTCTCAGATCCAAGACAGTTGGCTCCTTCATCTTTCAACTAAAGTTTCTTAGCAAACTCTCCTCATTTACAGAACAAAATGCTCCGAACAAACATATAATCGAACCGGGACACCATTAAAGGTGTTGTGTCTAAAAAAAAAATCAAATCATACTCCATATTCCATACCAGATGGGGGCAGTATACCTCCAGAAAGTGAGTTGTGCCACGGCACGCACTCTCACGTCTTCAAACGACACGAGTGAGCGCTGTCTTGCTCTCTCTCCCTCGCCCATATTAATCAAATCAATTGACACGATAGTAAAAGGGTGGAAGATCGCCGTTTTACGTGGAACATTTGGAGATTTTTAGAGATTAGAGACTCAATGAACAACATCTCAACACTAAATTATAAAGGCCGTCTCATAGACGCCTGTCTCGAATACAAGCCGGTGAATTTCGAAAGCCCGGGCCATTATTTGAAGTTTTACAGTATTTGTTTTGTTCATATCAAAGCCCATGGTCGAAACTGGTATTATGACACCTGCCGGGCTAGTAATTTAGCATGCTAATTCAGGCTAATATCTCTGTGTAACAGGTACATAAAGTGTACTGTTAAATGTATTTATAGTTTATTAGAATTCCCACAAAATTGTTTGTTGACATATACCTGATATTACTGCCTAAGTGAAGTCGAGTGTCTTTCCCTTTAATTGATGTGATGTCATGAGTCAATATAATTTCCTGTTCCGTCTCCTCCTCTTCCTCTTTGCACTGGTGATGCAGTGAGAGGTGAGGTTATTTTAGGCTCCTGATAATCATCTTTAATCGTAATCTTAATTGTTGCTTTTATGTCTAAATTTTCAATCTAATTCCTGTGTATAATGTTATTTTACTTATCTGTGTGGCTATTTCCGTAATTTTGTCCCGGTTAAGTGATGTTTTAACATCTGGGCCTAAAGGTGAAATGAGAGCACGTGTGACAAGTGTACATCACATTTGTTTTATAGAGCTAGAGAGGGCGATTCTCACTAAGAGGCTGATTACATTTTATTTGTGCATCAGGTATGTCTTCTGTTATACGTTTATGTTTTATATGCATTTTATTGTGATTCTTCCTCTTTGCACTGGTGATGCAGTGAGAGAGCTAGAGAGGGCGATTCTCACTAAGAGGCTGATTACATTTTATTTGTGCATCAGAATAAAAGATCGCTGAAACTGCTGAGTCCTGTCCTGTTCTTCCCACGTGAATGAAAAACACAACGCAGAAAAGAGACCAGTTACATCTGCAGCACTATAACTTGTCATTTTTTTAATGACATCATCAAACGTATTTCTTCTCATTCTTTTGATGCGTGTAGCTCATTTTTGGGATATTTTATCCTCAATTCTTACACATGGTACCTTTAAATCATTCACTGTGGTTTACAGTGGTCATCCTGGACAACATCTTTTGTGAAATAATACCAAAGCGAACGTTCTTTCACTCTTCCATTTGTCCCGTTGTCGACAGATGCTAGTGCGTGGAGTATTTTAGAAGCTGATGGCGCATCTGTATCCAGTGTAGACAGCGGCAGTGATTATAATGGGTTCTGTTTGCTTTCAATCCAGTGTAGGCAAATATCAGCCAATAAGCAACTGAATGTTGTTCATGCATCTATGATGTGCAACTATTCATTGATGTCTTGCTCTGGAGGCAGTTATATGCAAATGGATTTGCCTGTGTGACATCACAGATCCTGCAATATCAAAACTAGCCATTTTTGGTGCTTTGTTTATAAGGAGAACATTTTAAGCTATGAAACTTGCAGGGACAAAGACCTCTTATATGTCAAAAGATCAAAACATGTCATGTCCCTTTTAACTAAAGTAAAACTAAAACTATTAACAAACATTTTTGTTCGTTTAAATAAAGCTGAAATAAAATAAAACTTAAACTAAACTAAATTAAAAATTGTGCATTGGCAAATAACTGAAATAAGTAAGTTGTGCTAAAATTACAATACCTTTGCACTCTATTCATAAACCCCCAAATTGCTATAGAACTGTTGTTATATTACAACATAAAGTGAATTGAGTGTGACTTTTTTTTAAATCTATTTTCATACTTAAATCCCCCTGTAACATGTATTACTATGTCTTTTCTGGATCTTTCATTAGCTGCCAAAATTTTACTCACTGCTCTCTTTCTGAGCATATATTATCACAACTATTATGGCCTGAATTTAATAAGCCTAAAAACAAAAAAATAAAAAAAAATGTATGTTACAACAGATCACAAGATTTACCCTGGTAAATAATAATAATAAATAAATAAATAAAACATGCATAAACCATGGTTCTTAAGAGGGAAATTTTTGATTTTTCAAAAGTTTTTGATCCAAAACTGGTTGGATTTTTTTTTTTTAAATGTACAAAAGTACAAACCAAGTAATTTAGTGAACTACTTTTCTCTTTTAATATATTAATATATCAGTAAATTTCTGATTGCACTGAGTTTTCAGCATCATTTCTTCAGTGTCACATGAGTCTTCAGAAATCATTGGAATGCTGCTTTGCTGCTTATGAAACATTTCTTATTATCAATGGTGAAAAAACAGTGTTGCTTTTTTTGTGAAAACAGATACATTTTGTTTCAGTATTCCTTGATGAAGTAGGCTACTAATGAAGTATTTGATGATATCACAAGTATTAATTTCTTTGAAAAAAAAAAAAATCTTACTGACACCAGTATTTTGAACTGCAGTGCAAGTCAAATAATATATTGTTCAGTTAATTGTAGGTCTACTTGGTGATCGGTATTCTTTACTTAATATCTCATCCCTCTGCACGTGAGTCCATCAGACATGCTTCAGAAACGTCATGAGTTTCTATTGAAACTCCACTCTGTCACACACTGCAGCTGGACTTTGGTCTCGCTTCTATCAATCGGACATGGTGAGTGATACATAAATGCAAGAAAGAGGGAGCTCTTGTGTCTTCCTGACTTTACAGAAATGGAGACTCAGCCTTTGCAGGACTTCCAGGACTTGTGTACCTTTGAGAGTTTTAAGAGTTTCTGGCACTATTATGGTTACGGCGTTGATCAACAAGAGCTGATAGATCGGGAATTTAAACGGATTAAAGGTAAACAATAATAATCAATTTTTTACAATAATCCTTTTACGTTCAGTAACGGCGCCATGCTGTTGAATAATGTACCAATTTGATAATAGGGTTTGTGTAGTAAATAACCGATTTGAGGTTTAAGAGCAGCCAAAGTTTGTTCAGCGGTTGAGAGCGTGGGCCTGCACTGTTTACTTTCACTTTAGTTGTTGTCTTTTTGGTTAGAATGCAGCGCCCTCCGTTGGTCTTATTGTGAATTGCACCTAGAGGCTGAGTAGTGGACGCTGACATGTTCTTCTCTTTTTAAGGTGTTACATACCTTGATCATGCAGGGACCACGTTATTTCCTGAATCTCAGATTAAAGGATTTTATGATGACATATCTAGGAATGTTTATGGTGAGTTCCACAAGAGTTGAATTATTGAACATATTACATAACATCAAAATAATCATTTTTGCTGGTGATCGTAACATTGTTTTCTTTCTCAGGCAATCCTCACAGTCATAATCCCAGCAGTGGGCTAACACACGACACTGTGGAAAGTATCAGATACAGGTAAGACCTTTTGCACACTCTGAATTTTTCATCAGTCATAACAAAGAAGACCTTATTACCATTTAAATGTATTATTATTATTGAAAATAGATAAAAAAGCAATATAATTCGATGGTGTATGTTTTATTTTTTCCTTCAAAAAGAACATTAGAGCTTAAAATCATTATGTATGTGTGATAATGCCTGCAGGATACTGGAACATTTTAATACATCTCCTGAAGTGTACTCAGTGATTTTCACTTCAGGATGCACTGCAGCACTGAAATTAGTGGCGGACACTTTCCCCTGGAAGGCCGTGTCAAAAGAAGAGCCTGGAAGTCAGTTCTGCCTCCTCACTGACAACCACACCTCTGTGGTGGGCATCCGCGGCGTGACCGCACTCCAGGGAGTTGGCACAGTTTCTGTTCCACCTCACCAAGTAGAAGCAAGAGCAAGAAAACCCCAGACTCAGACAAATGGAGAGGAGGTGTGTTCTACACCTCATCTTTTCTGTTATCCCGCCCAGAGTAACTTCTCTGGCAGAAAATATCCCCTCAGCTACGTGAAAGGAATTCAGTCTCAACAGCTCTATCCAGCATGTGAGCACCGTGGTCG